AGATCTCGGAGTAGAGATGGCCGTTCGTCTAACAATCATCGGCCTCTAAGTGAGGAACAAATTCAAAGAAGCTCTACCGAAGTGTCCACCAAACATCAACCAGATGTCTTGGGGTCCGAAACTGCCTCTGACATTTATGTTGTTGACAGAAAAGGAGATGTGAAGAACCTGATATATGGAAGCAATCACCGCTACAGTGTGCCACCATTTCATCGAATTGGGGCCGGTCGCGTTCTTGGTGCACCTCGAGACACAAGAATTGACAGAGATTGTTCAGATGATAAGGGTATTGTGCTTACGAATTCGAGAGACTTCAGATCCAATAATCGAGAGAAATACGTTTTTTCTAAAGTGGAGAGAGACAGGCCTCGCCTTTTGAAGATCCGTTCAGAAGTTCTGGCCGAGGAACCTTTCTTGCACGATGACGATTTCGTTCCCCTGCAGATTAGTAGAGGTAAAAAGCGAAAGAGAGTGGATCGAGAACTTGGTTCGAATTCAGAATCTGACCATGATGATACTCATTATCGTTCAATAAAAGGGAAGGTCAAAACGTCTAATCAACCTCAGGATAACGCTTTCCAATATGCTTCAGATAGTGATTCCTCAGGGTCAGATGCTGGTCGAACTATGAGACTTGAGTCTTCAATCAAACAGAAAAATATAGAGCTATCCAGACGAATAGAGCATGCCCCAAATGATGTAGATGCGTGGCTTGCATTAATTGAGCATCAAGATATGCTTCTAAAAGCAGGAGATGAAAGTCGTCGCATCACTAATGCAGAGATCAGAAGTACGGCGGACATTAAAATACACATGTACGAAAAGGCTTTGAATAAGATCCACTACCTACAGGACCGCGAACGATTACTTCTTGGCCTGATGGCGGAGGGTTCAAAGATTTGGGAAATAAAGATTCAAGCTGAGCGATGGGCACAGATTGCAAAGGACAACATCAATAGTCTCGTCTTATGGAAAAAATACTTAGATTTCAGACAAAGTAACTTTTCAACATTTAGATATGAGGATGTACGTGAAGTATTCCTCGGCAGGATTCGTTCTTTGAAGGATAGCATCAGCGCCGCGCCAGAATGGAGCTCTGTGAAATTACTTTACGAGCAGCTCCTATATGTAGTGCTCAGGGCCACTCTTTTCATCCGTGAATCAGGCTTCATTGAACTCGCAGTGGCAATTTGGCAAGGTATCTTGGAGATAAATTTTCAAGGACAGATATCCATACGCACTGAGCATGAGGCGCCAGGGCTAGTGGAAAACAGAACAATTGAGCTATTCGGTGAGTTTTGGGAGGCAGAAGTTCCACGAATTGGGGAGCCAGGCTCTCTAGGCTGGGAAATATTTGCAGAAACAGGAGATGATTCAACTGTTCCAGATGCCCAGACCGATGAAGCAGAGATGTCACTTGATGGGCAAAGCCTCTTTGAAAGCTGGGTCATCGCAGAATCTTCTCGTAGCAAAGCTTCTAGAGTACCTGCAAGAACCATGGATGATACTGTGGAAGATGATCCTTATAGGGTCATTCTGTTCACTGACATCGAGAATTTTCTTTTGCTATTGCCAAAATCTGCCGAGTACTTACGAAGATCTCTGTTGAATGCGTTTTTGATATTTTGTCATTTGCCTTCTATGCCTACTCAAGATCATGAGTCAGGGGTAGATTGGAGCCATGATTCTTGCTTATATAATGAGATGCTCGACTATGATTCTGAATGGGTCAAAGAGAAGTACATGAAGAAATCTAGTGAGGAATCGATCGAGAGCGAAGAAACAAAAGCGACGTTAGTCTTCGCAGCTCCTACAACGACTCTTGCAATGGCCCCAGAATCTATGTTTAGCAACAGTTGGTTCAATAGCTTTAAACCATGGAGAGAAGTGTACGGTAATGAAGATAATGGACCCATTTCTTATTCGTGGGTTCGCAACACTTTGAAACAACTCACACAATCATATCCGATAGAAGATTTCGCAGAATACTACTTAGCATTTGAATGGATAAACGAGCCCACCACCATCAAGAAGGTCGCTAAAACTCTCATTAAACAACACTCCTCCAGTCTCAAGCTCTACAATGCGTACGCTATGATCGAATGGTCAAAAGGCAACCACGAAATGTCAAATGGAATCTACACTGCAGCTTTAGGGATGAATCAATCTACGGTCTCTCCGCCAGACCTCAACGACAACAAGGATTCAGCCCACCTCTGGAAAAGTCTGGTATGGGCAAATATCTCAATCGGATGTAGAGAAACCGCATTGTCGCACCTCCTTTCAATCCCTCACGGTATTCCCAAACCAACCATCCCCGCCGAAATAACTCCAACTGCCCTCCTCAAAACCCAACAACATCTCTCCTCCGCCCGCGACCATTTCCTTACCATCCAAAATCCTACACACGCAGTCCTGTATACCGAACTCCTTGCCCTTCTCAAGTACCTAACCACCACCTCCACAAGTGCTCTCCAGGCTCCTCAACAAGGAAACATCACCTCCGCTCTCGAAATTCTCACCGCATTCTCCGTCCAACTTTCTTCCCGCTTAAGCTCACCACGATTAGCCTACCCCCTATCTCTCCTCCACCAATCCACAGCCCGTCTGCTACATCACCACGCAAAATCTGGCCCCTATCGTCCTCAAACCCTTCATTCACAACTCACCGCCTCGCTACGCTTATTTCCAAACAATACGATTTTCTTTTCCCTGCTCACATCCCCGGGACTCGGAATTACGAAACTTATGAGCCCTATTACTCTGAGCACTTTGTTCTCTGATCTTTTGCATAGCTCGACTTCTGCAAATGATAACATGCTGCCCCTCTATCTCAACATTATCCACCACTATCTTCAAAACACTCAATCTGCATCTCCAAACCTCAATACGATAAACTCAACATTCGTTTCGGCGTTGAATCTTAAAGGTTCAAAATCATACTCAGATTCTGGACTGGCGAGTTCGAGTGCGCTTTGGAGATTGTATCTACTATTCTGTGATGTATACCCTCAGTTTCTACCTTCCTCATCCTCATCTTCACCCGTATTATCATCAAAAGCTTTGATACTTGGACCAGGGTCCGCTAGTAGGGAAATTAGCAGAGAAGAAATGAATCGCAAAGCAAATGGCATAGTAGAGCTTTGGAAACAAGCGATAGCGAGGATGCCGTGGTGTAAGGGAATCTACATGGTTGGGTTTGAGAATATATGTGGGATAGGCGGTAACGATAGCAATGGTGAAAGAAAGAACGGGATTAGCAGAGATGAAGAGGTCAACAAACAGTTGAAGAATATTTGGAGGGTTATGGGGGAAAAGGAGATAAGGGTACATGTGGATTTGGAGGGGGTTTGGGATGAAGAGGAATAGGGATAGGAGCATAAGAGAAAGAGAGATTAAGGTTGATACATATTGTATATATTATTTAGTGGTTACGTAGGAGACCTATATTCATAATATCTGATATATAAGCCCCAGAGAAGAAAATGGCCAGTATCTACCTACATCAGATCAATTAGTAAAGTCCACTTCTAAATACCACGAATCCATTGCTTACAACATCTTCAACTACATCTATATCTTCAACTACATCTACATCCATACAACACCATACCATACTCTAACATCCATATATATCACCCTCCCTCTGCCCCCTTCTTCCTTCTCATCTACTCCTCTCCTCCCCTCCTCCCTCCTCCCCGCCACTCCACTTCAAATCACACAAACACCACCTCAACCCCCCATCAGAATCCAAATTCAAGTCCACCTACCTACCTCCTTCCACACCATCACCTACCTTCTATCATATCATTCATTCCCTTTCTTTCCCAGAGCCCAATCCTCTCATCCTTCATCTATCCATCTATCCATCCATCTACCAATATATCCAAATAAATGCACAGACTCACCGCGCAACACTCTCCCCACGGCCCTCCTCTCCTGCCCAACTTTCCAAATAATCAAATAATCAAACAATCAAATAAAATATTAAAAAATCACATCAACAAATCACTCCAAATCACTCCAAATCCCATTCTCATTTCATTTCATTTCATTTCAATAAACTTTCTCTCCCAAACAAAAACCAATTAATCAATTAATCCAACCCGTCCAACCCGTCCAACCACCCTCCCCCCAAAACAATCAAATTAAACAACCAGACCCAACCCAACCTAACCCATTCATCCATCCAAACTAATCCTCGATCTACATCGTACACCACCCATCTCATCTTCTTCATACAAAGTTTCAGACACTTGTACTATAAGTAGGTAATAATAGTACTAATGTAATACTACTACTAAACATACATCGTACCACACGATATACGATGAAATACAATACAATGCAATACAATGCAATATAATTCCTTACAGTACACATCAAAAAACTCCCATCAATCGCAACCAACTCATCAAGAATCATAATTATAATGACAATGCAAATCAAAGTTTTTTTTCCTTCTTTCTTTCTTTCTTTCTTTCTTTCTTTCCTTCCTACAACAAACAGTCTGTGCACCACACATGGACGATCCTCTCCTATCCCATCCTATCCTCCTCCCCCATCTCCCACCTATTGCCATTGTGTCTCCAGCTGTGCTTGTCCGCCCTCGAGAGGGATATCTATCTTCCTATCTGCTTCAGTACCTACCTGAACTTACCCATATCACAGCATCTCTGCAATCATCGGGTCTAACTATCATCATCACAATAACGATAATAATGATAACAACATAGTGTGCCCCCACACATAGTAGACAAACCAAGACTAAACAAAGACAGACGGCAACCTAAGAAAGTAAGAAAATATACGTTAGGCAATGGCAACCTAAACCAAAGCCAAAGCTAAAGCTACGAAAAGCTTCAACCTGGAATGAACATCAAAAGAAAAGATGCAAGAGAGTTTGACAAAGCTACCAAGCAATTGCCCATACGGCACATGCAAACCATTCCCTAAACCATTATCACGCTATCCCCTCCAACATACACAAAGTCTTAACAAGCATAATTTCACTCATCAAACCAAATAAAATAAGATCAATCAACACACATAGCTCATCCCATAAAAGTGTCAAATGAGGTGTAGTGAAAAAAAGGTCAGTTACATAGAACAAAGGTACAATTCGCATCGTTGAGTTATTTTTTCTGCTTTCTGTGCTCAACCCATGCACATCCTACCTTCCCTTTTCCCTTCTTTATCTCGTTGCCCGGCACAATCAATTGCCCCCCTTCTCAAACGTATGAACACAAATATTATGAGTTACCCGTCATGAGCCTTCTCTCTGAAAATTCCCCTCCCGCCTTTCTATGAAAACCAGAATCCCAAATCCGAATGCCAATACCCGAAAACCGAAACTCGCCCGATTAACGTCCCATGTATCTATCGTCATGTCGTGAAAATGCTGGCATGTCAATTCAAAGCAAAAGGTCGTGATTTGGCCGAAAGTCGTTGGGAAAAACGTATCGAGTGGAATCCTTAGTGTTAGTGATCGAAAAGCGTAATGGAAAAGTTGTTGTGTACAAAGTCGCATTTGGCAATGAGAGGAATAAGGAAACGAAAGGTAGGATGCGGAAGGTGTCGCGCAAATAGGTATATTTGGTCGAGATCGAGGTCTGGAGGATACTTGCAAAAGTCTGGTGAGATGACGGATCCCAAAGAGAAGCGATCGGTGAAAGGGCGCATATTGATCGAGGGCGATATTCGTTGCGTGGAAAATCGCGAATTAAGCTTATCTGCGTCCGAACCTGCTACACAAAAGGAAGTTCGTAATTGATCATTTTTATTTTTTCCTCGGAGTGACGGGCCTGCTGGAGGCACCTAGACCACCTGTTGTGACGTACTTTTGTTTTTTCTCCGCTGGTTTTAAAATCTGGAAGAGGAAAATTAATATAACACTCATAAAAATGAGGACACTGCATTTGCGACCTACCTGGAATGAACATAACAAACTCTCATCCACACTCATCATCGCTCCGGCATTGTCAAACTCTCCACAGTAATTGGGCGCACTGAAGAGTGTTACCAATTGCCGCTTTGAGAAGAACTCGTAACCATCCTCGACGACTTGATGAGCTCTGCATATCAAATCCATATCATGCTTTTGTAAGAACCTAGAAACAACATCGGGACCGAATGTGAATGATACACCACGATCGTTTTCACTCCAGCCGGTGATATCCTTGTCTGGATCAGACCAGAGGAGATCGCAAAGGAGACCGCAATCAGGAATCTAGTTTCATATCAGCAAGAGCTCTGGCCTCCTCCCATGGCACATTGAGAGCTGGCAAATGAAAAGCTTTATCTGGTGGACTCACATCAGTTGGTCGCATGACACGACGGATTTGCTCCATGGAGTTTAAATCTGGACTCAAACCACCGTGCATAGTGAAGATTTTTTCGTCAATGATTGCTGCAATGGGGAGGCAGTTGAAGCAATCAGTAAATGTCTTCCATAGCTTAATGTTGTATCTTCTCTTGCACTCGTCGTAGAAACCGTAGATTCTGTTGATGGAGGCACACTCGTGGTTACCGCGGAGGATGAAGAAGTTTTCGGGGTATTTGATTTTGTATGCTAAGAGCAAACAGATAGTCTCGAGGGACTGTTTGCCTCTATCAACATAATCACCAAGGAAGAGGTAGTTGGCCTCGGGAGGGAATCCACCATATTCGAACAAACGGAGGAGATCGTAGTATTGACCATGAATATCACCACAGATCTATCATCATGCCATTCAATCAGTATTGCTTTGCGAGCCTAGCGCATTGAACAAATGAATGCTTAATATCATACCTTGATTGGTGCCTCGAGCTCTAAGAGGATGGGTTGAGAGATGAAAATTTCGCGAGCCTTGGTGCAAAGATAACGAATTTCTTGTTCCAAAAGCTGTACTTGTTTGCCTGGTCTGCTGCCTCTAACTTCTAGCAGTCTATCAATGATAGAGTCGAGATCGACTTCTGGTTCTGCCATCGCGTTTGTCCTCCTTCAGGAGAATTTGACTGTAGGTGTTGTAATGTAATCCGCAGCAGGTGGACGTCAAAAGACAGTGGATTATAAGGTCGTAGATGTGTTTACGCTAGGGCTTTAATTCACTTCACTTCCCGATCTGCTGCGCGTTATGAATTAGTCTAAGCCAAGGTAACTTGGTGTAGGTAGATGGAGTCTTTTGATTATGTTGGAAGCCAAGCTCAACAAGAATTAAGGAGGGTTCGAACAACTTACAATGAAGTTGAATCCGCCTCAATGGATTTCTTTGATGAAAACCACGTCGAAATTACTCTTCAAGGAGTCTTTTTCTTGATGTCGTGATGTTGTGGCAGTGTTAACAAATTGGGCTCGAGAAGTCACCAACTGTATTAAGCTGAATAGAACTCTGAGTAAACAGGTATGTGAAAAAGAGGTGACTTGTTATGATTTATTCACCGGCCCTTTTTGAATTATTGAATCGCCGCTTTATGTCGCAAAGGATGCGATAATCTCGTCTTAAGAATCGTCGATGAAGTTTCGCAAAGTAATCTTTGTCGACTCGAAAATATTTCGTGGTTGTCAAGTCGAGGGATGAAGTTGTTACGGGCTTGTCGGATTTCTCTTGTATTTTCAACAAGCGCGCTCTCGTTTATCGCCTTAAAAAAAGGTCAAAGGTTCGAGAACGGCCGTACAAAGCACGCAGTGGAGCCAGGAACAGAAGAAAAAAAATAAGATGAGCGTGAGAGCCAGACAGAGTCGAGAGAGTCTTTAGGTAGAAAGAGAAGAGGGGAAAATTTTTAGTTTTCTTATGTTATATCGGTGATTCGGATTTTCCTCTCCTTTCCTTTCTTTTTCTGGTATCTATCTCTTTCCGGTATAAATCGTGTGGTGTTAATTTTATATGGTGGGATAAGTGAAACTTTTGAAGTTATTCCAAGTCACATACATACAAATGCTCGCTTTTGGGGGAGGAATGATTTCGTTTCTTCACAAAGATAGTAAGACTGCCTGTACTGTGATGTGATGCATAGGATTAGAGAGGTAAGAAAAGTTGGAAGGATGAAAGGTTACGAAGGGGTTACGAAGGGGGAGGGGGTGGTGAGATTAATCTGGGAGAGGAGAAGACGAATAGCCAAGTTGGAGGATCAGTTTAGCTTTATGCCTTGCTTAGGACTGGTTGACTGTTGACTATCATGGACTGTTGACTGCATCTCGAAATGCATGGAGTAAGTACACGAGTCAGCCAACGGTTTATATCTTGTATGGCATGGGAATGCGGGTGCGGGTGTGGGTGAATAAGACTGAACTACGATGATGATGATGATGATGATGATGGTAAACAAGAATGTTGATAGAATGTTCAAAGCCATCTATCTACTCGAGTCCCTATCTGTGAGCACCTAGCTAGGTATAAGTACCTACATCAAGATAACTACCAATGTCGAATCCTCATACCTACATAACCTCAATGAATGACTACCTAGTATATCTTACCAAGTAATAAGAGGGCTACCAGTGTGTACTCATGTAGGTAAGTGCAGTGTAAAAGTGTAATAAGTGTAAGTGTAAGTGTAAGTGTAAGTGTAAGTGTAAGTGTTTACCATTTATTGTATCTGAGGGCAAGTCTATTTTGGGTGATGAGGCTACTCTTACTGTGTCACCATATGAACAAATGTTGACTCTTCTCTTGTGAATGCAAAGTCTCACGATGTAACAAGTAGTCATTCATGTACACAAACATTAGGTGCATTTCTCTTTAAATCAGATTCCTGTGTCACTTCTCTCGAGATTGCCATTGTTTCCATTAAACTCCCTCCACGCCTACATCCTCCAATGATATGATAGTCAGTCATTTTCAAGCAGCGATACATTTAAAGCGCTTATGCAGTGGTTTTTACTTTAAAACTCCATTGCTTCACTCTTTCTTCAAGGCTGCTTTTATGTTCCTAATTTTATAACCCCCGAAGTAGATCTGCTCTCAGTCTTTTTCAACAAAACCAACTCCTCGTCCAAATATGGATATACTCGACATCTAACTACTCAGCATGGACAGAATATACGAGCCACGCATCTATTTCACATCTACTCGAGTACGGACTGTTCTCTCCACTCTTCCAAGATTGGGGATATCCGCAAGCATACTTCATCAAATCCACATGTAAATACGACAACCTTTACGTGGAGGATTAGATTAGACTTGGAGTTGTGCATTTACGATATACGATATCCAGACAAGAACAATGACCGCACTGATGTTTGGTGTTGCACTATCGGTCAAGATCTCAACTTCTCAAGATCTTTTGCAGCGGTCTAGCTCACATCATCGCCGATATTATAATATCGGTCCCGCCCGTACCTTAAAAGGTCAAGAATTAGTCCTCTTTTTCACTCAACCATACTAGGTTCGGCCCCTTCCACTACTCCTATTTTGGGTTTTGACGAATCAAACCTTATACACAACTAGTCGCCAACAACAACGTACATTCTATCTCTTGTGTACCTGTGAGAAGATTGTTTACCTACTGATGTTTCCCCCTCATGTATCTGATTGGTGCATCCTGTTTATTCTCCCCGTTCACCGTTCACCGGCTTGTTCTCAAGCCCGTTTCTACAGATGTACGCACACTTGATACCCCACCAACAGTATCTCATCAATCATGATCAATGGCCCAGCCGCAAAAGACTGTCTTCCTAGACTCAACATTGTCTGTGCCTAGAAACTGCAATGCCAATACCACCCTAATTTCTGCAGCAAATCATATATCATATCTCAAGCCACATCGGATTCGAGACACTCCATACATGGGAATCCCCTCAATTTTCATATGTTTTCTTTTCTTGTCTTCGCTTCATCCCGACAAGCCGGTACTTTGGCAGATCACATGCATTTATCAGCTCATGATTACCCCGCTATATCTAATAACAGCTGCTTAACCACCAACCCGCACATTTCCAGAAAATTCTTGTCGGGAGACTATCGGATCGGCCCCTGTGTCATCCTTGCCGAGTCCCGAACTAATCTGTTGTCATGGTATTCGGCTTCTGAATTGATGAGCCCTCTCATGACTTTGTTAGCACCTGGATTAAGCAATCTCGAAATGGGAATGTCTACCATTGACCGATCGCAATGCAGTCGCGGATATTTCTTGTTGTTGCGGGTGTAGTGCCTCTCACTTCACTTCTTTTGTGCTGCAGCAATGATTCAATGTCCAGCTTTGCAACTGAAATGATATCAATATCATTCGTTCTCTTTAAGGGATATGAAGCTTGCGCGTTACAATGTTTGATGCTCACTCAATTGCCATAAGTGTGGTGATCTTGGTTTAGTTTTACGCTTCAATCTGGGGATTTTCACACTGCATGCATATCTTAGCTTCTTATGCTTTTCAGACTTCCTGAACAGTGATTATCACCGTATAAATTCAACAGCTTTGTTTCACACTAAACCTTTATGAAGTAAGATTATACCGTGATTTCCTATTCCTGGGTGAGAGTGTCGATAAAGTGGATCAGAAAATGTCTGAACTTCAATTAACTTTGATAATGCATCTGATAATACTTAGAGAGCCTTAGTTTATAATAGGGAAGTTGCACTACAATCTAGGGTGTGCTGCTGCACACGTTGTTTTGAAGCCCTGCCATACAAGTTATCTAATTGGAGTATTTACCTCGCTCTTTTGATTTTCCTCTCTCCTTTCTCGTCTCTCTTCCGATCTCCCCCCTTTATTCATTAAGGCGAGAGGCCGACTGCTTCCCCCTTCTCCTAGATCTTCCTTTTGGTATCAAAAGGCTTCAAATTCTTTGAGACTATACATTATATATTGCTACATAATTCATATACCATGGTTTCCTTATTTCATGGCAAAAAGTTAAGATCTCCATCTTACCAAGAGTTTGGGCTGAAATCATCCCCTCCTTATGACAGGTGATAGGCCTGAATACCTTGACCCCACAGCTGAGCACTATCATCACACAACAAAACAAGTAACGGCAGCGATACGCAGATGTTCTCTTTCTTTGATAGCTAAAATAGCTTATATCCCGTCCGGTGAATCAGTAGCGAGTCCCGGAGGGGTTCGCGTTTTTTATGCTAAGTATAACCTAATCACATATTTCCAAATATCTTTTACAAAAATTCATGTGTCTGGGCTATGGAAGTGCCTCTCTCTCCCGTTTCAGAATACTAACGTGAACACCATCTCTGCCGCACTTTATCAATATCGCGTATCAAAGGATTGCTTGCCTTTCCTAAATTATCTCTCAATCAATCACAAGATACACGACGCCGACATGTGTGACATTCTTCTGTCCTCCATCAAACTTTCGGATTCGCACCTTTGACAGAAGCTTGTAGCTAATGTTCCTCTGTTACCAATACTATCGAGTGCGTGTTGACCTAAAGACTAAATATTCAACAGCAGAACAACTTAGCACTCTTTTATGTTGTTTCATGAATCTTCAATGTCCTCTCATGTGGAACTTCTTCAAGGCCGCTACTTATGCTTCTCACGTCTTTATCAACCACTTTCTCCAACAATCGGTATACCTGACTTCAAGCGTGTGAAGTATCTTTATCAATGTTAAATTGCACACATCATTCTTAGAACAGCAGCAGAAAACTCTTCGGTCTGCCAACCATGTTTTCAGTATCTCTTTGATGTTTACAGCGCTACGTTACTATATGTTTCCCGAGAACCCGGCATATATTTCTCTTCATCTCCCGCCAACACATTTACACTACCACGGTTTTAACACAATAAGCAACTCTACAATTGAACCAGAATTTCACCAAAAGAAAGCTTCCCCGGACTCAGTCTTACTGTAAGAGCATTCCGGCCACGGACAATTTCCATCTCCAAGATGTATTGGGCTACTACGAGGGCCCAATGCTGATCATTAACGAAATTGAAATCTGACAACTGAAATTTGACGGCCATCAGATTCAACGTTAAGAAAGTGTCGGGCGTCAAATAATTCCCGGAAGTCATTTATGTTGCCTTCCTATTCCTTGTCTTAGACATCAAAATGTGATGGATATGTAAGTTCATTATGGAAGGATTGCCAGTAGTGTATTTATTGTATGTACCCCTAGAAAATACCCACAAATTGATATATTACTTATATATAGCACTAGGTATGCTATTCTTCTTCTTCTTCTTCTTCTTCTTCTTCTTCTTCTCCCCTCTCTCTCCAACACCACCCGGGTATCCTTTGCAACACAAGCGTAGGCTTTCTTATTCCACTTGGTCTCCTGGAAGCTCATGTATTCATTCATAGATCAACATCTCCTCTTCATTCACTGATATCAGATTGATTCCCAATTCATTTGTGCATTCAAATTCAGATTCAAATTCAAATTCAACCCCCCACCCCCGGCCTCCCCCAACAACTCTACTCCCACATCTTCGAAATCCAGATTCCCCATTCCCCATTCCCTATTCATCTCTTCCCCTCTTCCCCCCCCCCGTTCACCTCCCCCTGCAGCAAATATTCATCAAATCAAATCTAATGAAACCAAATAAACTTAATCCAATGCACAAACCCCACAAACCCAGCCAAACATTTCTCCGCGATCCAACAACCTCCCTCCGCACATCCAGAGATCTACTGCCTCTAAAAATCTAAATAAACACCTCTACTCCCCCTTCCCCTCCCACTCCCCCCCTCCTCCCACCTTCCCTCCTCTCCCATCTTAAGAAAAACCACAACCCAAAACAAATACTTTATCCTCTCACCCCTATCCCAGACCCAACATGCCATATCACTCCCCTACTCCTCCAATATCCACACCAAAACTTCAAAACTTTAAAGTCCTCCCCACAATCGACTTACGCCTGGATTCCCCTTTTCTTCATTCTATTGCATTACAGTTTACCAACCACTGGATACCATTCCTAGTACTATTACCATTACCACAACATTCACCCTATTTATCTATTCTCTTATTCCTTACCCTGTCCTCCTTGCTCAAAGAATACACCGTTAGCTCACTACCCCATGCTAATCAACCTCCACCCCGCGAACCCCTCCAAATCCCGCTTCTCACTCTCACACACAATTTTACAGCATCAGATTAAGCAAATGATACATATTAATATCCATAAGTCATAGTATTCCCTAATGCCTACGAAATAACAACCATCTATCTGATTTCTCATCTTTCAATCAATAGTATTGAGAAAGGAAAATGGCCCATAACTACCTATCATGCCATACCATGCAACGCACATGAATAAACCTTCCTCATAAATACCTACCCCGAACCATAGACGCCGTCCCAAATGAGAATCAGCCTCGGGCCCCTGTCAATTGTAAACGCCATTTTCATCGTATCGTATCATATTATCATGTCATCAGCTCCTCATCGACACTTCTCTTAATTACCACTAAATAATTCGCCTGCCAATCCGCCACCCATGCGACTTCTGCCACCTTCTTTATGTGATCTGACTTCCATATCCGAAGCGACGATATTCATACGTAGCAAATGTTGCCTAGCTTCACGTTCGACTTGCTTTGCAGTCTTGAGAGCTTCTTGTTGAATTTCTTGACGGTTGGCTCTGGACGTTGATACGAGGGTCTGCTCGGAATATGTTAGCATGATAAATTGAGTAAGAGGAACGAAGTTTAGAGGTTTGATCTTTCTTAAAAGAAAAAAGGAAACAGATGTACCTTAGCAACGAGGTCGATTCTAGCATTCAGCTCGCCACATTTTATCATCTCTGCCACTTCCTTTTCAATATTCTTTCCAGGTGGAGCGAAGTTCTTGTGCAATGTCTCAAAGGTAACGCAACTGAATGGAATGAAGTATTGAATGATACTCTTGCTTCTGACACGTGTGTAAAGCTCATCAACATGCTTTTGCAAATGAATATCAAGTAGATAATCAGCCTTGTAAGACTCCAGAATCTCTAAACATGCCGAGTATTTACTGCCGACAAATGCTTGAATGGCTCGACGAATGTGTGGCTCCATTTCGAGGTAGGCGCGGAAATCGGAGTTCTCGAGAACTGTCTTTTGTAATTTGTTACGATCGATAGTGGCTAAAGCGCAAATACCTCCATAGACAGCAATATCGTTAGGACTGATGATTGTATTGTAAGTCAAACCCATTCCCGAAGGTGTCTGCAAGAAAGTTTGTGCAGCGGCAGCATATTGCCCAGCATGAATTTGTGCGATACCTTCAGCTGCATGACAAAATGGTTTAATAACCTTCTCATCATCTGGGCCGACAATTGTTCCTCTCATCTTTTGAACGTTGGAAAGAACTGCGATATACTCCTTTCTTTCAATAGAAACTTCAATGATATGTTTAGAAACATCGATTACGTGTCTTGACATATTGCTATCTTGTCGCATGCGAGAATAAGCTTCGAATGCAAGTGCTAGTTGACCTGTAGCTTCATAATGTTTGCCTAAATCTTCATTTCCCATCTGTTCGGCGATTCATCAGCCAGTCAATCTTCGGAATCCACCTGCAGTGGAACACAAGTATGATAACTTACCCGAATGCTTTCCTTGATTAAATTATTCTTATAGCCTTTCAACTGTGCTTCCAAGCTTGCAGCCTCCGCAGCATTGGACTTGTTTGTAGCATCAATCCATTGATCATCTCTAACAGCCTCTGGTTCATGTGGCGCAATTCTGGTCATAGCAGTGCATGCATCCATGTAAATCGTAACATCCTTTCCTCGCTTTGCTTCTTTAATTAGCATTTTTAAAGCTTCGACGCCGAGGAAGGTGGAGGTGATGCCGATGAGATATAGTCGCTCAAGTCTGGTTCTGCCTAAACAAGAAGAAATGTTAGCTATAAATGTCCATGATACATCGCATAGCACAGAAGATTTGATATCTCACCTTTGTAATTCGCAATGTAGCTTTCAAGATCGAACTTTGGCGGATCTACAAAAAGAAGAGCTGGTCAATAGCTATTCACACATTTACTTGAGAAGATCCAATAGGCAAAGTTACCAGTAACAACAAGAGCTTTCTTCCTACTCATAGTAGGTGACATTGGTGGATACAACGAAGCCATCTTGATCTATGGTCTCTGTGCTGTAATTGCGCGCGCTGCCTGTTGCAATAGTGTAAGTCGAATAAGAATTTCCTTTATTTGTTGCGTCCAATTGTCCTTATTTCGCTCCCCGGTCAAGTGAAGGTATGTCTCGTCGCGTTCCTTAATGATTCTACTTTTCTCGCGGGAAGCTTCGAGTAAGGTAGCTATTGATAGATTCTCGAGGTTAGAAAGAGCTGTTTATCGAGATATTAGGCTATAAGGTTACATACCAAGAGGGGTGGAAGCCGTACCACTAGTGTTCATGGTTGTTCGGGTATAGTCCAATCGGCGATTCGACTTCAAAGTTCCGTGGTGGGGTGGACAGGGCTGAGAAGAACAAATTGGAACTATACAGCTTGAGCACAGACAGTATCTATCACGTGATATCAATCTTGTCTGATAAGCTTGCATGGACTCGCTAATTTTAACCATGCCAATCCAATGTCATGACAGTACAACAGACGAAAGGTGAAAGGAACACCTTATTCATTGTAGTTACATGTAGTTGCTCGTTACTTATTGCTTTAGATTCAGTTATTCCAAAGATCTTCTCTGACTATTCCAGACACTTATAAGCTCCAATTGGTCCTTGTAGTACGATGAATGGAATGAGGATAAGCTCGTCTATTCAATTAGAAGACTCCATCCCTTCTTATATTACGAGAATTGCCTATAGCTCTCAATCGTACAATAGCAAAGATTGTGGAGCTCTATTTCTAAGCTCTGTAAGCCTGGATATTTTAGCCCTCCTAGTGGTTGACGAAATCTAAGTTGATGTTCCCAGCGCGAGTAATAGGTTGCTTCGAGGTCATCTAGTATATCGAGAATGCTCAAGTCTTCCTTCATAGTAAGAATGACGCACAGCACCATTTTCCATTCTTCTAATCAATCTTGCTAGCATGAAGAAATGTCACTATCGGCCATCCTCTCTTAAAATCAAGATGTGAAGACTATCTCAAAAAATGTCTCACAATAGGGTAAAGCGAATGTCATCTCTAAGCTCAAATATATCGAAATGGTCTCAGGTTTATCCTGTTATTAAGTGAAGTTTGCACCCCCTTTGACTTATTACTTCTAACTAAACCCTTCACGTCTCTTTTCGGGTATTTGAGTAGCTCTTAAAGAATTAGACATCTATCTAAGCCATCTCTACCAAAGCCCTTACTGGATGTTAGCCCAATAGGAGCACAGGGAATGATACATACTCTTGCTCCACACCACTTGCAAACACTCCCTCCACTGTATTTTCACCCATTGACATACTCCTGGAACTAGATCTGGCAAAATCGATAATTACACCACAGGATCCTGTATTCTCTCTGTCGAAGACTCACCTTGGAAGAAATGATAGGAACTTATATTTACTCACATCATTGACTTCTGTAACTAAGCTGAAATCACCAAATCTGCTTGGAGCAGGAAAAGCATACCCTTTACTCATTACCACAGACCAAACAACTGACATCTCTAACGTACTGTTGAAAACATCCGACATATACAGATAGAAAATTCCCGTACATCAAACATTCGAGCGAAAATTCCACATCAAGATAAAACCCCGTCATTCTTGTCTCATTTTCGTCGATCAATCTTAGCAACTAAAGACCTCCAAGCCACGAAATATACACCCATAAATCCTAATCAATCTCAGAACAATCCCCAGCAAAGAAAACAGCTCTGAATTATAATGAACTTCATCTCAGGCAATTGGGTGCCCTAAGTCCAAATCCATCCACACATTTGTCCTTACCTCTCAAAAGTTCAACACCGAGATCTACCTGCTCTTCCTCGGGATAAATCACAACAGCACGCCGATATTTCCAATTCCCTTGTAACTTTCCCCAGACCAATCAGCAAACCAATCAACCCAATGCAGAATCAAACCCTTCTACCTCCAACCCTCAAATTTCCAATCCATTCATCCTCATCCTCAGCATCAGCACCCCGACTCAATCATCCAACTTCCACAACTTTCCCCAAAACCCTTTGAATCCCCAACCTCACAGATCAAAACCAACAATAACAACCCTCTTAACAAACTACACACTTCAGATCCTCACCCAGCGTAGAATCCAGACTCCCTGGTGGACTAAAATACAACGCTCCCACCCATCCTCCACAAGTACTAGCCCAAGCTGCGGTAAAGAGTAAATGAGAAAGTAATTAGGCGAATTGGTATTTGGTTCACTTGTAACTTTTCGATCTCAGACGATATCCTTATCCATATGCGATTAGTGAAAGGATGATAGACAGGTAAATAAATGAATAGAAATAGAAACTATGTGCAATAGCATTGTCCTCCTCACTATACCTTTCTCCTGCTCCCCCAAACAGTGGACAGAGTACAATTGATACCAACTCATCACCACAGCATGCTCCTTCCACTTCTATCCAATAGGCTACTGTTTTCAAGAATCTCCGCCATCCGCAATTAATCTCTTATTTCCCATCACGTTTCACTTCACCAACCACAAGATCAATCACTGCTTCCAATATTTCACACAAACACAATAGATAATTTAAAATCTTAGTATCTTCAAAATAAATTTAATTTCCTTTGATGATCATAATCTGATTTTAGACCTAATTTCCAAACTCCCAACGCCCATTTCATTCCCTAGTCATTAACCATCATCATGAATTACCCATTTATCCCCTTATATCAAGTCCTTTACTGATACAAATCCATATCTCCATCACTATCCCCTTCATATCTGTACCCTCTATTTCCTCCCCTCCTGCCAAATGCTTCATTCGCATCCACTTCATCTATTTCCATGTCATCTTCACTACTGACTTCCTCGCTACTGCCCTGATGATTAGGTAAAACCTCAATTCTACCATCTTTCATGACAACCCTTGCGACCTCTCCATCCTTAATTGCTCCCCTCAACAACAACACCGCCATTCTATTCAACACCTCCTTCTCAATCAATCTTGCCAGAGGTCTAGCACCATATGCTGGACTATAACCTGCTGAACCAAGATAATCTCTCACCGCAGGAGAGCAATCGATGCGAACATCTCTACTATTATTCAGTAGTCTCTTTTGAATCTCTCCAAGTCTAACATCGACAATCGAACGGATTTCTTTCTTGGTAAGACGGTTGAAGATAATTGTAGCATTGATACGATTCAAGAATTCCGGCAAGAAATAATCCTTAAGAGCTTGTTCGACCATCATACGAGTAGTAGGATCGATTTTTCCGTTAGCAGCATTAGGACGATCGAGGTATTCGGCTCCCAAATTGGATGTCATGACAACTATACAGTTTCTAGCGTCAATAACACGTCCTTGGCCATCGGTGATACGACCATCATCCATGAGTTGAAGAAGAACTGTAAGAATCTCCTTTGCTGCTTTTTCGATCTCGTCAAAGAGAAGGATAGAGAAGGGTTTGCGACGAAGGGCTTCGGTAAGTTGTCCTCCGGCGTCGTGTCCAACATATCCAGGTGGTGCACCAATCATACGACTAAGTGCATGTCGTTCTTGATATTCGGACATATCCAGTCTGATCATAGACTTTTCATCATCGAAGAGGAAATCGGCAAGAGCTTTGGTAAGAAGTGTCTTACCAGTACCAGATGGACCACAGAACAGGAAACTTGGTGGCGAGTTTGGATTCGAAAGTCCTGCTCGTTGAAGTCGAATGGCATCTGAGACCGCTTTCACAGCTTCCGATTGGCCAACAACTATCTTCCCCAATACCTTCTCCATGTTTAACAACTTATCCTTCTCAGTAGCCTTAAGTCTTTGAACAGGGATACCAGTCCATCGAGCAACAATCTCGTTAATTTGATCTGGACCAACAGTATCAGTGATGAGAGATCCACCGGAATCGAGGTTAGAGGAAGAGCTGAGAGCCGCATCAGCAGCCTTTTTCTCTTTCTCCAAAGTCTTGATGAATGCTACTTGTTCTGGAATAGCATAGTATTGGAGATCAGCAGCCTTGCTAGTATCACCAAGACGAGTTGCTTCATCCATCTTAACCTTCAATTGGTCAAGCTTGACTTTAGCCTCTTGAATATCCTTGCCTCTCTTTCTTTCGCTTTCATACTTCTCACGTAGAGGTCTAAGTTCTTCCTCAACGTTACTAGCGTCTTGCCTAGCCTGAGCCAAGCGAGCTTTCGAGGCTTCGTCCTTTTCACGAGACAGAGCATGAATTTCAATCTCGAGTTGTCGGTGTCTTCGATCAAGGGAGTCGATGATTTCAGGTTGTGACTCTCGGGCAACTCGAACAGCTGCTGCTGCTTCATCAATAAGATCAACAGCAGAATCTGGGAGTCGCCTTTGTGTAAGGTATCTAGCAGCCAAAGTGGCCGCAGAAACAAGAGCACCATCTGCAATGGTAACTCCGTGATGAACTTCGTATTTCTCCTTCAATCCACGGAGAATAGAGATGGTATCGGGAATAGATGGTTCCTTAACCAAAACTTGTTGGAAACGACGTTCGAATGCTGCATCCTTTTCAATGTACTTTCGATATTCATTGAGAGTGGTAGCACCAATACAGTGAAGTTGTCCACGTGCTAACATAGGTTTAAGCATGTTCGCAGCATCCATTCCACCTTCACCACTGGCGCCAGCACCCATGAGAAGATGCATTTCATCGACGAAAAGCACTATCATTTCCTTGGATTCTTCAATCTCCTTCAAAACACCCTTCATCCTCTCTTCAAATTCTCCTCTGTATTTACTTCCAGCAATAATCGATCCGACATCTAGAGAAAGAAGCTTGCAAGCAGCAAGATTGTCCGGCACATCAGCGTTGACAATTCGCTGAGCCAATCCCTCCACAACTGTCGTCTTTCCTACACCAGGTTCACCGATCAGGACTGGATTGTTCTTCGTACGTCTCGACAAAATTCTAACGACTCGGCGAATTTCTTCTTCTCTGCCAATAACTGGATCAATCTTTCCCTCTCTAGCCATCGCCGTCATATCGATCGTAAATTTCTTCAAGTTCTCATTATCCTCCTCTGCATCCGCCGTCTTAGAATCGACTCTTTTCGTTCCCCGAATCTGCGAAACTGCATCTTGCAGAAGCTTAGCATTCGGCATGTTGGCTTCCTTCAAACATGTTTGAACAGCCGCATCTTGAGTAACTGCGATAATCAAATGATCCACCGCAATAAAAGAATCCTTCTGTGTCTTCTGCAATTCCTTCGCCGCCCTCAAAACTTTATTGAAAGCAGGCGAAACGGCAACTTGTTCTGGTGGAGGATCTTGACTGGGTAGACGAACAACAGCGCGTTTCAGTGAA